AGTACATTTGAGAGCGTGCGTCTGTGTGTGAGCTGGTCTCCATATGTGTTCCTGTCTCTCGTCCCTCACCGTAATCTGAATAATGAAGTTTGAAACAAGGAAATCCGCACGTAATCTCCAATCCCATCCCTCCGTAATTTACAAAGGGAGAAAGCCTGGAACTCTCCCCCGCCTCCGATTTACCCATGCGACCCACACTCGTGCGTATGACTGTGTACACACATACTGATTTTATGTATGCACTGTGATTTAAAACTAACACACACACACACACGCCTGGTCCAGATGTTCTCGTGGCACACGGAGTGAACCGTGAATTCACATGTACATACAGTACAGTACTGCACCGACACAGGAGGGAGCTACACTGGACTCAACATCAGTTTGGTTCCCGCTCCGTTCCATTGAAATAATAAGTGCTTGTAGTGAATGGAGTGAATAGTTATTAACGTTTCACATATTAAACTGACGTCTTGCCACACACTCACAGATCAGGACCAGATAGCGTTAGTCTAGACGCCCGTCCAGAGACTCTCGTCAAAGGAAAACAAATCTCTTGATTTGTGCAGACGGCGGTGTGTTTGACATTATTTCTACGAGTCTCTGCCAATTGTTTTTACTGTCCAGTGTTTGTAACCGAACACCCGTTCTCTGTTTCAGTCCTGGAGGTTTTTTCTCATCCATCGCATCTTTATAATTTTTCTGTTGGCTATTGTTTATTTTGTAAGAGAAGACACATATTCCAGTGTTGGACCAGGGATTTATTTGTGTCACAGGATGAAAATCCTGCTGATTACAACTCATTTAACACCATAAACAAACCATTTGAACTGGCGAGAGATTTAACCCCGAACTTCTAAGTGTTTCGGGTTTATTTCTTTAAGCGGAAATTGGCCGAGCAGTCCAAGTGATTTTTTTTTTCTTTTTTTCTCCCTGTCTTTCTTGCAGTGCTTAGCATCAATCCTCACATAAATATAAAACACAGTATGAGAGATGAAGCACAGGGATGTTTAAATACCTAATTCTTTTTTTTTTTTATGTGTATAAATGCCTGGCGACTGCTGTGCGGACATGTATGGCATTTCACAAATGTCAAAAATAGTGGATCGTGGATAACATTTTCATTCAATGTAAAATATATAATTATGCAATAAATATAATTACAGTGAGAGTGTGTAATTAATTCAAGTAAAATAAAACTTTTTTCTTTTTTTTTAAGGCCACGTCTCCGTGTCCAAAGCTGTGGTTTTAGGTTATGAAAACACACGGCCGGCTCTCCGCTGCTACTAATTTAAATGAGAAATGTCTGTTTATCCACAGTATTCAGCACCTACCGCATACACCTTGCATGAGAACACTGTCAAAGCCCTGTCATGTTGGAGCCCCTCCCACCACTACGTCTGGATGCTTACAGCCAGCAGGGCTCCCAGTACAAGACCCACTAGCCTCCACAGATATTTCCTGAGGAAAACATATCACCTCAGGCTAGACCAGCCGTCTGACTCTGCTGAGGCAGCAGCAGCCCCAGCCCACAATCCACCACAGGCCTCAACCTCACTCTGCCTCTCGTTTCTTCCCCTTCCTTCATCCTTCTCCGAGCCCATCTTTCTCTCCTGCAATTTATTTGTCAGTCTGTGTTTTATTCCAACGTGCCCTAAACCTTTTTCTTTCATCGCCTGGGTAGGACCTTGTGCATTTTTCTAATGCTTTGTACTTATGAAAGAAAGAAAAAAAAAAGAGCAACTAATAAAGAAAGTAAAAGAAAATTTAAAAACGACGTCTAGGAAAGGACATATTGTACTGCAGCACTGCAATCTTTTCAAGTTTTTGCCTTGGAAGTGTATTGAATTCTGTTATAACAGGTGCACGAAGTGGAGAAATTCTATGCGGGGAGAAATGATTTATTTTGCTTTTATTAAAATAGATAACAAATCTCTGAACTTGAAAGAAAGTTTGGAAAAAAACCCTGCTGTTTTAGAATAATGACTCACGGTTTACATCAACACAAAAATTCTGCCCTGATACTGGCATAGAGTTACAGAGACTCTTCTCACAGAAATATATAGAGTAAAAATAATATATAAATTATATACAGTATAGTATAAATATAAATTACATTAAAGAAGTCTACGGCCACATTAAGGCTGCAGGTCGAGTTGTTCTGTTGATCTTTTTTTAATAAATTAAGATCCAAGAAGAAGATCCATTATCCCAGTGTTTCCCAAACCTTTTTTTTGGGGACCCATATTTTAAACGTCACAAACGTTTGCGACCCAGGTCAATAGACATTATTCGTAAACTCCATGACGTGAGACGACCCACCAAAAAAAAAACCTATCATATTTCTGCTGTTCAAATATCAGTCAAACACACCGTGCTCCTCTGCTACGTCGGTGACTCTGGGTAAAATGTTAGTGAAGTTTAAATGACCAAACATCCTGTAGCCTCTGGGTCACTTTGGGGGTGTTTTTTTTTTTTTCTTTTTCTTCTTCTTCTTCGTTCTCTCCTGGCGTCTGTCCCTATCCTTGGGTTCAAACCAGCATCCGTCAACATCTCTGCAAGCTGCAGCGGGAAATGAGGAAGTCGATGATGTGTTTTATGTGGAAAAGACGGTTGAGAACCCAGTGGTGTAATAGTATAACAGAGAGGACAAGTTGGACGTATTGATACCCTCACCCCAGGAAATCCCTGCTTTGGGGGTGTTTTTCTCTCTCTCCCTTCTCTCTGTCTCTCCCTTTTTATCATACTACTCTCTTTCTTCCTGTCTCCCTCTCTCTATCTCTGTGTCTCCCCCTTTAACCCGTCACTTACTCTTCTCCCTCGCCTTACCTTCTCTCTCTCTTCCTCTCACTTAGTCTCCCTCTCCCTCTCATCCTTTCTTCGCCCCCTACCTCACCCCCTCTCTATCATGCCTCTCTCTGCCTCCCTCCCTCTCTCCTTCCTATAAAGACATTTATAGCATTGTTCAGCGCTCCTCCCGTCGTTCCCTGTGGATATTTTTAGACCACAGTGAGGCTTTAAAAATCTATAACTTTACCAAAAGTTAAAATGTTTTATACTGTTTTGACAGTACTACACAGCTGTACTTATAAAACCACACACATCTGTGCTGTGTTTTTTATTACCACGCACCGGCGCTGAGCAGAACCTTCAAATTAAGTGAATCAGTGTCAATAACGTCACAATCTCATGTCACACAGTGTCCTATAAACGTCCTCCTCCACCTGGAGGTCAACATTTCCAGGACAGTAATTGGACGAGATTGAAACAGAATAATCACATTAATTTAGAGGCTTTTTAAAACAATCCTCACATTTTTACCAAACAACATGATTTTGAAATTCAACCAACAAAACATTAGGTCAAGGATTTCTCTACATTTATTTGTGCATTTTTCATCTAAAATTTAAATTTTAGTGCAAATTATATCTCAAGTGTAATTATATCTCATTTATTTGTTTATTTTTTATGTGAATATTTGTCAAATGGCTTCTATGTTTACCTGTAGCTAACAGCTAGCTCTGTGTCCAAGCTCGCAGCTCTTGGTTTGCAAGTTAAGAAAAAAATGAATATAATTTAAAAAAAAAACCAAAAAAAAAAAAAACCATGGCAAACATACTATGATACCAGGCATAGTCTTCCTTCTTGGTTCGCTAAAACTTCGTGACTCTTTGCATCTTTTATATCTTTTTAAAGAACAAACTTCAGGTGCATTACTGCCCCCTAGCAGGCTGGAGTTGGTGCGTCAAAATTTTTCTTAATTTAAATTTTTTTTTTCACATTTTTAAATGATATATATTTAGTTTCACTTTTTTAAATTGTGTTATTGGAGAGTAATTGATAATTCTGTTATATTTCTAAAAAATGGCATCAATTTAGCTCAGGTATAAACTCTTCAACCGCTGTGTGACCCAGGTGTGCTCTTCAGCCCACACTGAGTCACTGAGGCCAGAGGAAGTCAAGGCAAAGAGGTCTATTACAGCTGGGGGTCTATCTCAGCCCACGTCAGGAAAGTCTCTCTCAGCATGAAGTATGACTCTATCTGTCCGCTGTCTCATTTTGTCCGTCCAAATGCCCCCACTGGCCTGAGCCTCTCTGCCCATCAACCATTGTGATTTGTCAGGATTGAGTCTGAGGGAAGATAATTGATTTAATTGGAGGTGATGAATGAAGGGCTTTTATCGAACATGGATCATAAGTTGGTGACAATCCGGGGGATAATGGAGAAAGTTTATGGGTCAAAAGCCATGCCTTGTCTCGTAGAGGGGTTTTATAAGTCATTTCTGGAGCAGTTTATTTCATCCATGCAGGATTCTTCTTTTGAAATGTCTTTTCACAGGGACATTTTGTCTCCTGGTGATGAAGGAATGAGGTGAAGTTGAAGTCATCCTGTAGGGCCTATGTATGTTTCTGGAGCAGTTTATTTCATCCATGCAGGATTCTTCTTTTGAAATGTCTTTTCACAGGGACATTTTGTCTCCTGGTGATGAAGGAATGAGGTGAAGTTGAAGTCATCCTGTAGGGCCTATGGCACGTCTTTGTTCGTTTTCTCCAAATTGGAATAGGCAGTTCCAAAATACCATTTCTATATATATATATATATATATATGTTTGTGTATATATATAATATATAGTTTTACGTGTGTATATGTTTATATACAGTATGTAGATAGATCGATAGATAAGTGGTAATTTTCTACATGTGTCTAATGTTTTTTTTGTACCAATATTTGGGTAAATAGGTAGATGTTCATCACTGATTGTAAAGTGCAATCTTCTGTATTATTTGGAAAATAGAATTGTGTCAAAGCGCCCAGCTCACCAAAGTAGGTGTCATTGCTCACCTACTGTTGAGTAGGTGAGCACTGACATGACAACATGCATGTCCGTGAGACATGAAAAATATGTAAGATGTAAGAAAGAGAAAACACAATATTCAGGGAGAAAATGACTTTATTCTTTATCTCTCTTTCTCTTTCTCTCTGCCACTCCGGATTCAGTGTCTTTTGGGAGAGGAAGCGGAAGACGAGGGGAAAACCTAATGGCAGGTTTCGGACAGATGTAGGAAAAGGCTAAAGTTTGGGGAGCACGGCGGTGAAGAGAAAGAAGAACAAAATCGCCGTACAGGAAGAGGAGGAGACACTTGGGAGGAAAGGGTAAGAAACACGACACAGGGGTGAGAAAAGAATGGAGGGATCAACTGGAGGGGGATTAAGCGAAACATTGATGGAGAAATGATGAGTGACAAAAAAGTGGTGGTATAACAGAGAAAGAATAAGTAGGGTGTGTGCTGCCAGGGTCCGATTTCCACATTCTTCCTATCACCACACCTAAATCCCTAATTGTGTGGCCACAGACAAAGTACCATTGAGACCACAGCACTTCAGCGAGCCGGCGTTTAGTAGCCGAAAACCGCGCTGTTTAAATTGGTCTGTGACCCAGTCTGCATGCGACTGGAGTTTAGACTGAACAAGAAAGATAGAAGAGAAAAAGAGAACGAAAAATAATACCAGGAAGAGAGAGGAGAAACAAATGGGAAGAAAATCCTTTTCGGAATCTGAGCTTGGCATGGTCAACTGAGAAAATAAATAGGAGTATTTCTGCAAATCAAATGGCTACCACGCCGTCGGAGTGTTGAATGTTTTATGGGCAGAGCGCGGCGCCAAACCTGTCTTTTTCTTTAATCAAGTCATGTCGGAAAGAAAGTCAACTGCGATAACAATTTACAACAATTTAAAGAAAAACATAAACCTTTATGTAAGAAGTCCTTTATTCATCCCACACATCATTTGGCAAAAACCAGACATTTTTTACAGATATCACATAATATGCTAATATAGGGCCAATAATATCGGTCGGCCGTGTGAAAGATTCGTTCATATTGAACGTGAACGTGAAGTTTGCATATTCTCTGGTCTGTGTGTGTTTATGTGTGTTGAACAAGGAGATTGAAGTTGCTGGTTGAATTCCCAGTTGTTCTCTATTGAGGTTGTAGGAATGATCTTGATCTTGAAGGAACATTCATGGAGTCCCTCACTTTTTGTCCAGTGACCTCTTTACCCACGATACTGAAAAGAACTAAGTGGTAGAAAATGGATAAATGAAATGAGGTTTATCTTTTAACCAAAACTAGCTTAACCGCCTTGTATCAGTTTTCCCGACGATGGAGTTTGAATCATGTGGCCAATCGTGTATTTGATAATAAGACAACAATGGGGTTTTTTTTTTTGTTTTTTTGTTTTGTTATTCTTCTCGTGAATCATCACAGAATGTCCGTCAAATCATTTGTCTCAGGGTGAAACTGGAGTCAACAAAGAACTCCACCCACAAATGTCTCCTAAAGTAAGAACTGGCTGGGTTTTCTTTTCTGTAGCTCGGTAACACTTTTCTTTCCCCCCGCACTGCAAGATTTTATGCATGCCATTCTCTTGGTAGCACTTTGAGCAACCACAAGGAAAATAGTAGAGATGTGTGCAAAAATATCTCCCCCCCTTGACCTCACCTTTAACACAAACAAACATTTAAAATAAGCACTGGGCCTGGCTGTGCGGCCACAGCCTAAAGGTTTCTTCATTATCCATCTGACCAGGCGAAATCCAGTTTTTACAGGACTCTGACTGTGTGTGTGTGTGTGTGTGTCATAGCCAGTGTAGGTTCATTGCCAGCAGGACAGTAGAAAGAGCGACTCTTAGCGGCTCGTGCAGGGGCGGAGCTCTGGTCGTTCTATGAAATAGAAAACCCGGAG